TAAAAAAAAAAAAAAAAAAAAAAAAGTGTCAGCAACCCATGACTTTGTGAGTGTGAGCCTTGTTCTTATTCCCCTTGTCGACGACAACGCCATCATTCCCCGCGAGCGCCCTGTACTTATCCTTCCTGGTGAAGCCAGTGCACTCGTAGGACAAGGTGGAAGCAATGACCCTCTGAATGTAATTGGCGACGTCATGGCTGGACTTGCCCCCAGCCCCACAGGTCAAGTCCTTGGGCAACTTGTTGAGGAACGTCACCTCGTAAGCGGGGCTAGGGTTCATGAAGAAGTAGAAGGGGTCCATGCCCTTCCACCCCCTCGCGGTGGTGCCGTGGAACATGCTCATGCGGTTCACCATCGCCACGGGGACCAGCTCGTCGGTCAGCTCCGCGAAGAGGGCCGAGAACCGGAGGAGGAACGGCTCCCGGCAGGTCGTGCCCTCGGGGCAGATCGCCAGGTCGCCGCTTCGAAGGAGACTTTTTATGGCGGCGGCGTCGGCGTCGCGGTCGCGGGAGAGCCGGACGGTCTTGATGGGGGAGATCAGCTCCGAGAGGCGGGACACGGAGTAGGTCACGGCGGGGATGGGGCGGCGGAGGGCGGCGGAGAGGAAGATGGGGTCCAGGAGCGTGCGGTGGGAGCAGATGAAGAGGACGCCGGAGTTGGAGTTGGCGTTGGAGTTGGGCCTCGGGGGAGGGGTGCCCTTCACGTGGACGCGGACGCCCAGGGCCCAGAAGGCGTGGTAGACCATGTGCATGGGGAGGAGGGAGCCCGCGGCGATGCGGAGGCAGGCCAGGGGAAAGCCCATGGGTATCCAGAGGATGGTGAGGAGGGCGATCAGAGGGCTGGGCTTCTGGACCAGGCGCCCGTCGTGGAAGATTATGGGCTTTGGGAGCTTGTCTGTTGGGACTGACTTTACGTCGGGGGTGGCTGGTGGGACTATGTAACCTTCCTGCATGCATACAAAACGTTTTTTTGTTTAACCTTTTAATCACTTGGCATGTAAATATATTTGAGAGTTTTTAAGTTCAACAAAGATATTCATTCATTTATAGGAAATAGATGCATATGTTATAATTTACTTTAACAGTGTTAATTGTGCATAGGAAAGGAATTTTTGTAAGGAAAAATATATACTATTTGATTCAATATGAAGAGATGCAACAAGAATGTAGGAAAACAAATATTTTATTGATCTAAATTTAGTTCACCTCCATTATTGGATAAATTTAGAAGAAATGCAAAGAATTTTAAAATTATTTTTATGATAATATCTAAAATATCATTATTAGTGTTTTTATTTCACTTTTCTCTTTGAACTAATTAGACCCTAAACATTAAAAAATTATAATCCGAAACAAAAAAATATTTTTATTTATGCTAGTTGAAGAATTTAAGAGAGAAAGGAAAAAAAAAAAACTAATATTACATTGAAAAGGTTAAAACATTGATGATTTTGAGTTATTTTTAAATATTAAAATTGCTATCATTTTATAAAAGAATAAGTAATTATAATAGTACTAAATGTAAAATAAAAATAAAAATAAAAAATCAGAGGATAAAAATTACATAAAAGTTGTGACATCATTCATAGTGGGAGTGTTTGGAGGAATTGACATTTTTTTTCTTCTTAATGGATGGAACAAGATATATGTTGATTGTTTGTGGCTTTTAACTGAGGATCATTTGTTAGACATCATTTGGTTTCTTACTTATATTAGTAGTACATGGTGTAATGCTTACGGTTTGAGCACAAACCCAATTAATACATCAGGAACAAAATGTCGTGTTCATTTTTTCTTTTTTGAAACATCCTTAAATTCTAATACGATCTCACTAATTTAATTTTTATGATTAATGACGTGAAGATTGAAGATGGAAGATGTGTTAATTAATTACGTACCTTGCACAAAGCCATGAAGGGAGCATCGGTTAGTCTATCTCCGAGCCCAACATCGGGCTTGTCCTCTCCGAAGGCCTTAACGAGAGCCTGGGCTTTCTTGTTCCCAACGAGAATCCCGGGCCTGCGAACCAACCCAGTTGCTCTTCCCATGTAACTCCCGATCTCAGTGCCCAAAACGACGTCGGCGCCGAGAAACTCCTTCAAGAAAGGCTCGACCATGACCCTGGGATTCGCCGTGAGCACGCAACGCTTCCCGCACGAGGAGAACACGCGCCACGTCTCCGGGTGAACATCTTCCGCGTAGAACTTCGGAAGAACCGCACGTGCAACGGACTCTATGCTCGATACTTTCATGCCAGCCATGGAGGCAAATATCAGAACCTGAATGCCCCAAAAGGATTAGTCCCAGATTGCTCAAACTTGGACCCACAATTATTAATTATATATTTTGCCTCAAAAAGTTCAACTTTGTGAAGAAATCTCCATTTATTAGAAATTAGTTCTTATATCATTACTTACTTTTTTATTTTGTAATTTTTAATAAAATTTTATCTATGTTAACGATAAAGTTCAAAATAATTTATACATATGAGTATGTTTTCTTTAGCATGTTGATAAGAATTCATTTTTTTTAACTGTGAGTACAAAGAAAACTTTTTTTGAAAAAGAAAAAAAAAATCCTTCGGATGATCTTTACATTTCAAAAGAATTAGTATTTAACTATTTATTGAGAATATCTTAAGTTAAAAAAAAGTGTTTGTAGCACTACTAAATTCTCTAAAAAAGTACTCGATAGAAATATAATTTCTAGAATTGAATATGTTTTCAATTCTTGAATTTTTTTTAATTTTTACTTTAATTTTATTTGATTTTAGTCCGTTGTCAGAGGTGAAAAATGTTAAGAAAAAAGTTTAGAGATTTAAAATAAAAATTAACAAAAGTTGAGGACTATAAAACTAACAAAAAAATTTATTTAAAGACTAAAAGTTAAAATTAACCAAAGTTAAAAATCAAGTATATTTAATCCTACTTTCTAATACAAACCATTTTTTGATCAAAATTTATTAAAAATTAAAAACTCATCTAGTAAAAATCAAAATAATAAATGAAATTTACAAAATTGTGATTTCTAATAAGTAATTAATAGTAGAGACTACTAAATGGAAGTGTTTAAGCATCATAAAAAGATGGAAGTGTTTGATTTGAGAGTGTTGTTAAGAATTTCCAAAGTTCTAATGGTTAAAAAATAAAGATGAGAACCTGAATGCCAGCAGCCTCAGAGATAAAGTAATAGAGAAGAGCAGCAATAGGGGAAGCCAAGACATAGAACAAAAGCCTAAGAACCCCACCAGCCTCAAAGGCCACGAGAGCAAAATAAGGGAACGAACTTCGACCTATGAGTAAGGTCCCATCCATGTCCGCCACCACCGTGTGCTTTTCCCTACCAATAGAGTTGCACTTGTTCACCGTTGGAAACGTTGAAGAGGCCATGGTACACTTGGTTAACGTTGCAATCACCAAATATATGTGTACCAAGAATTAATCAACAACTGTTTAGATAGGTTGCATGGTTTGTGGATGGAGTTTACATATATATGTCAAGTTTTGGGGTGTGAGACAAGCTTGAGTTTGGTATGAGTGACTATGTGAACAATGACAATGGTGGCTCGGTGATTTCCAAAAGCGATTGATTGATACGTTCCGAGCGATATAAACGAGGGTTAGCTATTCTTGTTTTTGGAAAGGTACGTAATATATGGTGGGGAATTTGGGTAGAAGCATGGTTTGCTCCGTCATGTTTTGTCTTCGATTATCACATGCCATTGCAATTACCATTGGTTATTCGAATATTTGTTTTCATTTGAGTAGTTTTCTTAAAGTGGATCTGAGTACTCAAAGACCAAAAGTGCACTTTAGTTAAAAATTATTAAAATATAACCTTGAGAGAGTTACTAGGGAACCAAAAAAAATCCGAGAATTTTGGTACAATTATTTATGGTTCGTAGTTGAATTTGTTTGAAAAAAAGAAAACAAAAAGAAAGAAAGAGAGGAAGGAAGAGAAAACTTCTCATTCCAAATGTGAAATACCATATAGAATTATAAAATTATTACTTCGACCCACAGTGACGACAATTTAAGATTTTTATATAAAAATTAAATATAATAATAAATATATCACTTTTTTTTTATATAATTTTACTTAAATATACATTACCATTATTTCAATAAATAAAATATTTTTAATTATGATAGTTAAGTAAATTATAAAGGGACAAATTTGAAGGAAAAAAAAACGAATGTTTATCAAAAGGTGATCGAGAACATAAATCATTTTATAATATTTTTCAAATGTTAAATTAATCAATGTTTTAAAATTTAAACCAGTCACCAACATGATTTGAATACTAAATTAATTGATTAATGGTTAGATTGATGAGTTACCAATCGAATAACAAGAATTAATATAAAACAATAACAAATACATTTTTTTTGAACGGCTAAAAAGGTGTATTAAATTACAGGTCTAAGGGGTATTCAAACCCATTTACACAAAAGAACATAGAAACAAGATCAGAAATACAATACATTTATGCAAATAATAGACATGGTCGATAGTTGCACTATACTCCAAAGTTTGTGATATTTTGTAAACTCTCCTTTCATCTATCGCTGCACCCCGTGTTCCACCTCCTGCAAGCCCATTAGGTCTAGCTTTCGCTAACCAAATGAGGTTGCCATTATTGCGATCTAACGTTTACCATGGTTTAACCAATCTTATGATTGTGGTCTGCGACACTTCTTACTTCCAAATACTCTCTATTGCCTTGTGATGAAACAACATCTACCCATGAAGATTCCCCCCTAAGCATCATGCACAAATGCTAAGACTTGGGTTGTTACACCATAGTGCGAATGGAATGTTAAAGCTTTTAGAGAGGGAATATAACCATTGTCAGGATATTTGTAATATATTTTTTCTGATGGCATGTTGGTCAAAGACTCCTCCCTCGAAAACGCATTTAGTCTTGTGCCTCTAGATTTTCCAGTTAGTAGCCAACCACACAACACTCCATCCTTCATGTTTTGACTTCTATGAAATAGTTACCGAAATGAATGAGAAGTGAGATTCGACCTATTGTGGAAGTGAGGCAGGGCTGCTTAGCCAACAGAGCCATTGCTTCCAAATATAATCCACACATGGGCATGAACAAAATAAATGAGAGGAAGTTTCCAGCTCCGCATTACAAAATTTACAATTTAATTATTGTTCATTTAGGTTGACATTCCGTGTCAACAAATTTTCCATTATCGGTAGCCCTTTATTAAGCACTTGCCACAAGAACATATGTGCTTTAGGAAGGCCCATTATAGTCCAAATCTGCTTGAACATATTATCCTCTACACCACCCCTCTTTGCCAGAACAGAATATGCAGACTTGATTGAGAAGATGCCTGAAGCCTCCTCCCTCCAAATCCAACAGCTTGTTGCATCTGCTTGAATTTTTATCCCTATTATCCGGTCTATCAATTGTTGTTCTTGAATTAGTTCCATGTTCTCTATACTTCTATTCCATAACAATTGTAAAACCCACCCTCTTTCTAGCCAATGCCCCATGTTAGTGATCATAGCATGTTTTTGTCCAGCAATTAAGAATAATATAGGGAAAGTAGTAGATAGGGGTTCATTACCATTCCAGTTGTCTAGCTAAAATCTCACTCGTGACCCTAAGCCAACCCGCCACTTTGCTTATCGAACCAATTATTCTGACTTACTCCCCCACATATCTTAATTAAGTCTCTCCACCAAATTGAGTCCTTCCCCAAGTTGTTTTGTGCACACAAGTTACTGTAGTCACCATATCTAGAAGTTAGAACCTGGACCTATAATGCTTGTGGATGATGGAAGATATTCCATCTCCATTTCGCAAATAATGCAGTGTTAAACATGAAAATATTTTTTATCCCCAATCTGCCCTGGTCTTTTGATCTTGTGACTTTTTCCTAATTGATCCAAGTTATCTTCCTCTCGCGCCATCTTTACTTCCCCATAGGAACTGCCTCTGAATTGATATAATTTGTTTTCCCACACTCTTTGGCACTCTAAAGAAAGATAGGAAGAATAGGGGTAATGACATAAGAACGAAATTTAGCAAACATACTCTTCCAACCATAGAAAAGACCTTACTCTTCCAACTAGATAGGTTTTTCTTTAGTCGTGCAATGATAGGCTTCCAAGATTCCACCCTTCTTGGATTAACACCAATAGGTAAGCCCAAGTAAGTGAATGGAAGGTTCATAAGTGTACATTTCAGTAAATTTTCATATCTTTCCATATGGTCTCCATCCAACCCAATTGATCCAAATTTACTCTTATTGAAATTCACCTTTAGTCCAAACACCATCTCAAAGCACCTGATAACGCTCTTAATGACTATGACATTTTTTAGTGAGGCTTCCTTGGGGAACATATATAGTGTCGTCTGCATATTAAGTTATACTAACCCCTACACGGTTCCTCCCCACCTTCAATCCAGAGTAGATATTGTAGTTCTCGGCTTGCCTCATCAAACTTGACAATCCTTTAGCCACCATATTAAAAAGGAAGGGTGCTAACGGGTCCCCATGCCTAAGACCCCTCTGTAAGGTGATTTTTTTAGAGGGACTTCCATTCACCAAGATTGACACCTTGGTTGTTTGTAGGCATTCATTGATCTAACCAACCCACTTTCACTGAACCCTAATCTTCGAAGCATATATAGTAGGTAATTCCAACTGACTAAGTCATAAGCTTTTTCAAAATCTACATTGAAAAAGATTGCTTGTTTTTTTGTATCTTTTTGCCTCATTTATTGCTTCATTTGCAACAACTACACTCTATAGTATGTTTTTTTGGCCTATAAATGCACTTTGCCTCTCATCTATGACATATGGCAAGACCTTCTTCAATCTGTTTGCAAGTAGCTTTGATATAATTTTGCACATGCATTCAACCAGTGATATCGGCCTATAATCCCCAAAGTGTTGTGGGTCCTCCGACTTCGAAATGATATTAATGAATGTCAAATTAGAGCCCCTTAGGAGTTTTCCGTTGACATGAAATTCATTCACAAATCGCCATACATCTTCCATCATTGTCTCCCAAAATTCCTTGATAAATTTAAAGTTAAAACTGTCCAAACTTGGGCTTTTAGAACTCTTGCACTCCCAAACAGCGTCCCTGATTTCTGCTTCCTGGAAAGGCTCAATAAGCATCTTGTTCTGATTGACCGAAATAGGGTTGAAGTATATTCCATCTAATATTGGCCTTTATTGCAGTTATTCAGAAAATATAACGTGAAAGAACTCATTTTCATGCTTCTTTACCAACATTGGTTGCTCTACCCATACATCTTCAATACGTAAGCCCTTGATAGCATTCTTATTTCTTCTCCAGTTAACTACTAGATGAAAGAACTTGGTATTTAAGTCACTTTCTTTCAACCAATTGACCCTTGCCTTTTGTGCCCACATGGATTTGTTCTTGATTACCAACTTCCAGAACTCTTGTTGATTCTGGATTCTCTTGTGAAACTCATCCTCAGACTGACCCACATGCTCTTCCTTTATGTCCAAATTGTTCAGTTCATCCAATAGTCGTTGTTGTTTAGTGGCCTGGTCAGCAAACAAGTATGTGTTCCAATTTCTCAACCTTTTCTTGAGTAGTTTCATTTTTTCTTTGAGGACGAAAGCACCCCACCCTTAACATTGCAACTCACTCTAGCATTCAACAACAACCTTATGAAACTTTTATCTTGAAACCAGTGATCTAATGATATGAATGGTTTTGGCCCCCAATCAACATTTGAAACTTGCAATTTAATAGGACAGTGATCTGAAATGCTTCTATTTAATACATTTTGTGTGCAGTCAAGCCATGCCACAAACTAGTCCCTTGACACAAGGAATCTATCTAACCTACTCTTAACTGTACAATTTGGATTGTACTAAGTAAACTTCCTTCCAACTAGGGGCACATCTTCGAGTTCCATATTCAATAAGAAATCATTAAACAAGCCTATGTCTGACAAGGATGCCCCCATTTAGACTCACTCTTTTTGGATGGTGCATGATGTTGTTAAAATCTCCTACAAGGCACCACAAATTGATATTGCTTTCAATTTTCTTTTCCAGCAATTCCCTCCAAATCTTAAACCCTAAACCCTAAACCCTAAACAAGTACATATATAAATATATTTTTATTTTATAAGTAAAAGGTATCATCACTTGGTGAGTTTTAAATTTAGACAACGTTGGGCGTTTATTTAGACTTTTAAATTTAGACAACGTTGGGCGTTTATTTAGACACTATTTACAAAATTGTAGCTTAAATTTAGTCTAAATTGTTACCTATATTATCTCATTGACAACCTTAAAAAAATGTTCCCTGATGTCACTAGCAACGGTCATAAAAGTGTTGCCTATAAAAATAGACTACATTTCTAAAACCGTTCTTTAAAAATTAATAGTGTTGCCTTAAATTAAAAAAAAATCGT